TCCTGTGGTCATGAGGCCTCAAGTCTCAGGAGTGGCTCAGGGTTGGATAGTCTCAGACTGTTCTAGGTCATAGATGAGGTTCCTTTGGCCATGCAAGGCCAAACAGCCAAAGATCTTGTCCGGATATAATTTGTGACCCTGAAAACTCCTGTTTCCTAGTCCTATGCCTCTGTGCTTTGCTGTGTCTTGAGGCAATAACTTCAAGCACTCATTCAACCTACTTCCCTAGGCTTGTCCCTTTGTCTGGTGAAGAATGCTAGAGGGTCTGGCATATCTTTTTCAGTAATCCTGGAAAATGGAAAAGGAAGTCAGAAGAACTGATGCATTTAAATTGTGGTGTTGGCAAATAACTTTGACTATACCACGGATTGACAAAAGAGTGAACAAATCCATCTTAGAAGAAACACAACCAGAATGTTCCTTAGAAGTGAGGATAGCAAGACCTCGACTCGCTTATTTTGGACATGTCATCAGGAGAGACCAGTCGCTAGAAATGGACATCATATTTGGTAAAGTGTTAGCGAAAACAAAGGAAATATTCAGTAAGATGGATTGACACCATAGCCACAACAAGGTACTCAAATATACCAATTATCATGAAGATGGCACAAGACCAGGCATTGTTTCATTCTGTTACATATAAGGTTGCCGTGAATCAGAGCTGACTCAGTGGCAACTAACAACAACATACACCTTATCTTCTGTTTTGCCTTTGTCCTCCCCACTGCTGATCCTTAGTTTACAGCAGGCTTGGCAAACTGGTGACCTGCTGGCCAAAAGCCTGCTTTTCTGTGGCCTGTGAGTTAAGAATTTTTTTTTTTTTTAAAGAGTTCTTTAAAAATGCAAAGAAGAATATGAGGCAGAGACCTTATGAGGCCAGCAACACCTAAAGTATTTACTATCTGGCCCTTTACATAAAAAAGTTTGCAAACCCCAGGTTTAGAATTTGACTTGTCCATCCCTGCAAATCTCCAAATCACTGGACTCTCCGACAATTTAGTTCCCAGGTCTCCAGCAGAAAGAATCTCAGCAAAGCCGTATTTTCTTCCCTTTCTGCCATTAGATGGACCATATTTGGCCCAAGATGGACATTTTCTTGTAGGATTGTACTGAAGGTTTCAAGAAGCTAGACATGCTAACATCCTGATGTTTTTCTACAATTTCTCTTGATACTACAACTTCCACAGATACATGGTTGGTGTAACATAGGTGCCAGTTGAAAAGCAGAAGTTAAACTATGGCTCATGGGCCAAATCCAGCTAACTACCTAATTTTATAAATAAATTTTTATTGGAATATAGCCACACTCATTTGTTTAGGTATTATCTATGGCTGCTTTCATGCTGCAGAGTTAAGTAGTTACAACAGACCATATAGATGGCAAAGCCTAAAACATTTACTATCCAGCCCTTTACAGAAAAAGTTTCGTGACCTGCTGTAAACCATGTATTCTGCAATAGCATGACAAGGGTCATAGCTTCCCAGTCTGGAACAGCAGGTTTCTGGTGCCCTCTGCCCTGCCCCCTCCACTCAGCCAATTTCACATTAGAGTCTGTTGTTTGCAGCACCCAACGTCTGGTAACAAATTTGGTATTAGTCAGGGTTCTTAGTTGCAGGTTGGCATCCCTGCTGGTACAAACGGTTAAGCACTTGGCTGCTAAAAGAAAGGTTGGCAGTTAGAGTCCAGGCAGAGGCACCTTGGAAGAAAGGCATGGTGATCTACCTCCAAAAAAATCAGTCATTGAAAACCCTACAGTGCATAGTTCTACTCTGACACACACTAGGTCACCAAGAGTCAGTATCGACAGCAACTGGACTGGTTAGTTGCAACCAACCGTGACTCTGGCTGATTTAAACAGAAAAAGAATTTATAAAAAAGATATCAGATTGTGCATAGGCTTGGAAATATGCAGCCAAATCACTCCTGATTGCCTCGTACTGTTCCACAGAACACAGTTTGGTAAGAAAACTACTGCTGTCATAAGATGCTACAGCCTGCCTCAGTAACTTGGCATTACACAGCCAATACCTCCACGAGAAAGCATTTGTGCTATCCCTACTTCTTTAAAGTTGGCTTGGCATGGTGCATGTGATTGGTGAAGGCTAGGTAATGTGACCAGGCCCTAGCTGCAAGGGAGGCTGAGAAATCATTAGCAGACATTTTCAGTTTATATAGTGGGAAGTCAGTTCTGCAATGCATCAAGACTCAGAAGAAAGGGAATTCCCCAACAAAAGAAGGAAGTTCAGATGTTGGGTGGCCAAAAAAAATGTCAAACATCTCCTAAATCACATTGGAAGCCTATTTCCTAATTTAACCACAGCTAAGCTTCCCAACCCTGGTGGCTTAGTGGTTAAGTGCTACTGCTGCTAACCAAAAGGTTGGGGATTCAAATCCACCAGGTGCTCCTTGGAAACTGTATGGGGCAGTGCTACTCTGTTCTGTAGGGTTGCTATGAGTCTGCATTGACTCGACGGCAACAGGTTTGGTTTGGAAACCCTGGTGGCATAGTGGTTAAGAGTTCAGCTGCTAACCACAAAGGTCGGCAGTTTGAATCTACCAGGCACTCCTTGGAAACCCTATGGAGCAGTTCTACTCTGTCCTATAGGGTCACTATGAGTTGGAATCGACTCAACGGCAATGGGTTTGGTTTGGTTTTGGTAAGCTTCCCAAGCTTTATTTATTCACACCCCACCTACGTGCTGCTTTATTGTGTACAGCCTGCATTATTATTTTCTGAATATTTTTTAAATCAACTTTTTATATAAATACATTTATTCAAAAGGAAACTTTACATTAAGTTGAAAAACAGCATCACTTGTTGCAAGTGATACAGTTAAACATTATACAATTAAAAAAAGAATGGTATTAAATTCATAATACAAACTGTTGTCTGCAGGAGGTTTTGAACCTGAGGACTTCTCTTTCCTAATTAAGAAAGATTAGTAACAGATGTACAGATGTTAAAAACACACCAGTACCATACCTGCTTGACATAATCAGACAGCTAGTAAGAGGAAAGAGAAGACAATAACTTCCTGCCTATATGATGCCACTTTGAGTACCACCTAAATCTGTTGGGTACCACTGGTGGTATTTGCCTTAAAGTTTACTTTCAACACTGCATTAGTATTCTGTTGCTGCTATAACAAGTTACTACAAACTTAGTGGCTTCAACCAACAAAAATGTTTTGTCTGACAAAAGACCAAAATCCGTTTCACTGGATGTTAAGAGGCTGCCCTCATTCCTTGGCTTATGACCCCTTCCTCCATCTTCAAGGTCAGCATCTTAGCATGTTCTCTCCTCTCGTCTCTCTCCTATAAGGACCCTTGTAATTACACTGGGCTCACTTTGATAATCCAGGATCATCTTCCCAGCTCAAGATCTTTAATCATATCCGGAAAATCCTTTTCCCTTGTAAAGAAATGTATTCACTGGTTCTGGGGATCAGGACGTGGACATCTTTGGAGGCCATTATTCAGCAAACCACAAACGCCCACTCCAATTTTACCTTTCTTATATGGGTCCCTTTGGGGATGATATAATTAATATAAAAAAGCATAAACTAACGTCCTCCTCTGGTGTAAGGAAATTCACACATGCTTGCACACACGCTGTTAACCTCGTCAGATTTCCCGCATCTCTTCTTCTGAACTGGGTTTACTCTCTCGACCTGGTCTTGTAATACATCCCAATTTAACAGAATAGAAATATCTTATTTTGACTTAGCTACAGCTGGGTGTATGATCAGATGCTTACAGCTTCCAAGAAAAATCCATCTCACCCCTTTCCTGACCACAATTCCCAACCAAGCCTGCTGGGCTTGCAGTGACCCAAGCCTCGAAGGTGGAAAGGGCCAGAGGAGGCACTGTGCGCCATCACTCACAGATCATTAAGTGTCACTGTCGACAGGGAAGCGGCTCTGCCAGGTGCCTGGACTGCGCTAATTGCAGTGTGTCTGGCTTTAAGGAGCTGAGGCTTCTGATTCATCGCCCATGGAGCAGGAGATTTGATTCCTCCTTTTCTGTTCTGATCACTGCTTGTCTACAACCCAATGTCACAGCCCAGCACTTCTGTGACCATCAACACCATTTCTGGGAGGAAGGGCCATATGATGGAAAGGTATTAATCTTGGGACCGCACGGACCCAAGTTCTAATCCTGTCTCTGCAATTTGGAGTTGAGAGGCTTTGAGTAAGCTCCTTCTTTTTGTTTTTTTGTTTTTTTTAGTGACTAAAAACAACACGCATTTATTTTCTTACAGTTCTACAGTCCAACCCATTGCCGCCGAGTTGATTCTGACTCAGAGACCCTACAGGGCAGAGTAGAACTGCTCCACAGGGTTTCCAAGGAGCACCTGGTGGATTTGAATGCCGACCTTTTGGTTAGCAGTCAAGCTCTTAACCAGAGCTCCAGTTCTAGAGTCCAGAAGTTTGAAATCAGTTTCACTGGGCTAAAGTCAAGGTGTTGGCACGATTATGCTCCCTGAGATGCTCTAGAGGAGCATCCATTTTCTTGCCTCCGCTGCCTTCTGGAGTTGCATTCCTTGGCTCAAGGCCCCTTCCTCCATCTTCAAAGCCAGTAACATAGCATCTTCTTTCTCTGACTCTGCTTCCATGTATTTCCATCACATGGCCTTTTCTTCTGTGACCAAATCTCCCTCTGCTTTCTTTTCATAAGGACATTTGTAATAACATTTTGGGTCCATCTGTACAGTCCATGATAATCTCCACATCCCAAAATCTTTGACTTAATCACATCTGCAAAGTCCCTTTTTGCCATATAAGGTAACATTCATAGGTTCCAGGGATTAGAACCTGGGTATCTTTGGGGGCCATTATTCAGCCTACCATACCAATCCTTCGGACTCTTCTAAGAGTGGTAGGGCATGAGTCATGCTGTATCTACAGGGAACTCCTATTTTTTGCTCCTTAACCTCTTTAAGTATTATGTCCCAATCTGTGCGGTGGGGCTCACACTTAACTCTGGGAGTAGTCCATTAATTCTCTCATTCAAACGATATTTATTGAGCACCTACTATGGCCACACACTAGGCTAGGCATTGGAGACACAAGCATGCACTAGAGGTATCCTGTGCCTGGCAAAATGGAGCTCAAGGCCATGAGCAGGTATACCAGCCCAGTGAACCCAGCTGTCTTCCCCCATCTGACCATGGTGCTGTTGGCTACTGGCATGTTGTTCACTGCCTGGTTCTTTGTTTACAAGGTAATCTCCACCAGGTACACACAGGATATCTACAAAGAGCTCCTCATCTCCTTGGTAGCCTCACTCTTCATGGACTTTGGGGTCCTCTTCCTGCTGTTCTGGGTCAGCATCTACATATGACTCCCAAGGATACCAACCAGGTGGCTTCACTGAATCCCTGCTTTTGTAAATTAGTTTTTTTTTCTCACTATTGCTGGAAGTGTCTTGCCTTCTGCTCACAATAAAGGAAGGTGTGTGACCAATAATAATAAGAAGAATGTACTAGAGAGAAAAGTCTCAGGTACTCATGGAGCTTACATTAGAGTGGAGAGACAGACAAGAAAACAAGATAAAGTTATAAATTAAGACATGATCTGCGAGGGGAATAGCGTGATGTGAAGAAAGGAACTGGGGTTGGGGTGAGAAGGACTCACTGGTGAGGTGACAGTTAAGCTCAACTCTGCATAAGAAGAGCTGAGGGCAGAAAAAACCAGGCAGCAGAACCAGTTAGTGTAAAAGGTGGAAGGATTACATGAGAAAATGCATATAAAGGACTTGGCACCACATGGGTGACGCTAAGGACTTCCATAGATGGTGAGAACCCGTTTACCAAAGCAAGTCCGTATAAATTGTATCATTTAACTTGATTCTCATGACAACTCTGTCAAGTAGAGGGCAGATGGTGGTATGTCTATTTCATTGGTGGGAAAGTGATGAGAAGAGCAATTAAGTACTGCAGGGAGGCAAAGACATTTCTTTTGGTCTCTCTTCTCCCAAGAAGCTGCCTCCTTTGATTGATAGTAGACACTCTAATGATGGCAGTGGATGAGTCTGCTATTGCTGCATAACAGAGGCATACTGCAAGAAGTGTTTATTGCTCACATGTCTAGGATCATCTGGAGGTTGGCTGGGCAGCTCGGATGATCTTAGTTGGATATGGTCCCAAGTCCGGGTGATGGCTGATAAAGGCTAGCCCAGGCTGAGATGACCCCCGCTCCACGTGTCTCTCATCCTCCAGCAGACTGGCTCAGGTACGTTCTCACAGTGACAGCAGAGATACAGGAGAGCAAGTGGAAACATACAACGCCTCTTAAAGGTCTAGGCTTGGAATGGAGACATCATCACTTCTGCTGCCTTGTATTGGCCAAAGCAGGCCACAAGACGTTACCCAGATTCAAGAGAAGAGGAAATAGACAAATATGGGGGGTAAGGACAACGAGTTGAGGCCATTAATGCAATCTACTATAGCAGGCTTCCATTCAGAGTCACAAAATAGAGAGGGGTTTGTGTGTATGAAGTAACTGAACCATTTAGGGCATAGATGGGATGGATACTTGTGAAAGTGCAGTTTCCAGACCTATTAAATCTCGAGGGCATGACCCAGAATCTGAACTTTATAAGCATTTCAGGTGATTCTGATGATCGATCATGAAAGTTTGCAAGCTATCTTTTAAATGGATCAGACCTCTGTACAGCAGTCAGACTGGTTATTTTTACTTCGCATTTGGGGATAAACACTGCAACAGGAAGTACTTTATCTGTAGACAGAGAATGTGAATCTCTATTCCTTCTTCCAAAAAATGTATCTCCAGAAATTACCCTGCTTCCAATACATTTGCTTTATGGACAATGGAAGTCCAAGTGTCCAGAGAGTGAAACAACAGGTAAAAATACCACCCTCTAGTGGTATGGTGAAGAAGCCTTGGTGATGCAGTGGTTAAGGGCTCAGCTGCTAACCAAAAGGCAGCTGGTTCAAAGCCACCAGCTGCTCCACGGGCAAAAGATGTGGCAGTCTGCTTCTGTAATGATTTACAGCCTTGGAAACCCTATGGGACAGTTCTACTCTGTCCTATAGGGTCGCTATGAGTCGGAATTGACTCAGTGGCAACAGATTTGGTTTTTGGTTTAGCAGTATGGTAAAAACATCATGTTTGAGAAAGCAGAGGGTCAGCGAAAATGAAGGAATAAGATGGATTGACACAATAGACACAATAATGGACTCAAACACAGCAACAGTCATGAAGATGGTACAGGACCAGGCAACGTTTTGTTCTGTTGTACATAAGGTCACACTGAGTTAAGGCCTACTCGATGGCAACTAATAAGTGGTGTTGTGTGGCAACACAACATAGCAATAAAACTTGGTAGCAAAGACAACACAGTCAATAAAAGCTAATGTTAGTTACTTCGCCATTACTTTAGATTTAGATTTATTACTACCAGAATATTACCATTTACCTATTTTCATTAATCTCAATTTACTAACTCTTAGTCATTTGATATTTGTATTCTTTTGTTGTTGTTGTTAGTAGAATATTACTATATTGAGACCAACGCACAGTTTGTGACTAGACTGCAGTATAGAATTTACTATACTTGTGGTTAGGTGCCGTCTACTCAGTTCTGACTCATAGCGACCCTACGTACAATAGAATGAAACACTGCCCGGTCCTGCGCCATCCTCACAATCATTGCTAAGTTTAAGCCCATTGTTGCATCCACTGTGTCAGTCTGTCTCATTGAGGGGCTTCCTCTTTTTCACTGATCCTCTACTTTACCAAGTACAATGTCCTGCTCCAAGGACTGGTCTGTCCTGATAACATGTCCAAAGGACATTTGATGAAGTCTCATCATCCTCACTTCAAAGGAGCATTCTGGCTGTACTTCTTTTAAGACAGATTTGTTCATTCTTCTGGCAATCCATGGCATAGTCAATATTCTTCGCCAACACCAATAATTTAAAGGCATCAATTCTTCTTCTGTCTTCCTTATTCACTGTCCAGCTTCCGCATGCATATGAGGTGATTGAAAATACTATGGCTTAGGTGTTGTGTACCTTAGTCCTCAAAGTGACATCTTTGCTTTTGAACTCTTTAAAGAGGTCCTTTGCAGCAGATTTGCCCAATGCAATACATCATTTGATTTCCTGACTGCTGCTTCCATGGGTGTTGATTGTGTATCCAAAGAAAATGAAATCCTTGACAACTTCAATATTTTCTCCATTTATCATGCCGCTGCTTATTGGTCCAGTTGTGAGGATTTTTGTTTCCTTATGTTGAGGTGTAATCCATACTGATGGCTGTAGTCTTTGATCTTCATTAATAAGTGCTTCAAGTTCTCTTCACTTTCAGCAAGCAAGGTTGTGTATCTGCATATTGAAGACTGTTAATGAGTCTTCCTCCAATCCTGATGCTGTGTTCTTCTTCATACAGTCCAGCTTCTCAGATTTGCTTAGCATACAGATAGAACAAATATGGTGAAAGGATATAACCCTGATGCACATCTTTCCTGATTTTAAACCACGTAGTATCCCCTTGTTCTGTTCGAACAACTGCCTCTTGGTCTATGTACAGGTTCTGCATGAGCATAATTAAGTGTTCTGGAATTCCCATTCTGTGCAACGTTATCCATAATTTGTTATGACCCACAGAGTCGAATGCCTTTGCATAGTCAATAAACACAGGTAAATGTCTTTCTGGTATTCTCTTCTTTCAGCCAAGATCCATCGGACATCAGCAATGATATCCCTCATTCCACGTCTGCTTCTGAATCTGGCTTGAATTTCTGGCAGCTCCCTATCCATGTACTGCTGCAACTGTTTTTGAATAATCTTCAGCAAAATTTTAATTGGGTGTGATATTAATGATATTGTTCAATAATTTCCACATTCTGCTGGATCACCTTTCTTTGGAATGGGCACGAATACGGATGTCTTCCAGCTGGTTGGCCAGGTAGCTGTCTTCCAAATTTCTTGGCACAGATGAGTGAGCACTTCCAGCACTGCATCATTTGCTGAAACATTTCACTTGGTATTCTGTCAATTCCTGGAGCCTTGTTTTTCACCAATGCCTTAAGGGTAGCTTGGACTTCTTCCTTCAATACCATCGGTTCTTCACCATATGCTACCTCCTGAAAAGGCTGATCGTCAACCACATCTTTTTGGTACAGTGACTCTGTGTACTCCTTTCATCTTCTTTTGATGCTTCCTGCGTCATTCAATATTTTGCCCATATACTCCCTCAATTTTGCAATGAGAGGCTTGAATTTTTTCTTCAGTTCTTTCAGCTTGAGAAATGCCGAGAGTGTTCTTCCCTTTCGGTTTTCTAACTCCAGGTATTTGCACATTTCATTATAATACTTTACTTTGTCTTCTCAAGTTGCCCTTTGAAATCTTCCATACAGCTCTTTAACTTCATCATTTCTTTTCTTTTGCTTTAGCTACTCTACGTTGAATAGCAAGTTTCAGTGTCTCTTCTGACATCCACTTTGGTCTTTTCTTTCTTTTCTGTCTTTTTAATCATCTTTTTCTTTCTTCATGTATGATGTCCTCGATGACATCCCACAACTCGTCTGGTCTCCGGTCATTAGTGTTCAATGCATCAAACCTATTCTTTAGATTGTCTCGAAAGTAAGGTGGGAAACACTCAAGTTTGTACTTTGGCTCTCGTGGATTTGTTTTAATTTTCTTCAGCTTCAACTCGAACTTCCATATGAGCAATTGATGGGTCTGTTCTGCAGTCAGCCCCTGGTTTGTTGTGACTGATGATACTGAGCTTCTCCACCCTCTCTCTCCACAGAAGTAGTCTATTTGTTTCCTGGGTATTTCATCTGGTGAAGTTCACATGTCTAGTCACCGTTTATGTTGTTGAAAAAAGGTATTTCCAATGAATAGGTTGTTGGTCTTGCAAAATTCTATCATGTGCTCTCCGTGTCATTTCTATCACCAACTATTGATTCTTCTTCTTTGTTTCCAACTTTCGAATCCCTATCACCAGCAATTACCAATGCATCTCAGTTGCATGTTTGATCAATTTCAGATTGCAGAAGTGGGTAAAAACTTCAATTTCTTAATCTTTGGCCTTAATCGTTGGGCATAAATTTGAATAATAGTTACATTAACTGGTCTTCCTTGTAGGCGTATGGATATTATCCTACCACTGACAGTGTTGTACTTCAGGATAGATCTTGAAATGTTCTTTTTTACAATGAATGCAACGCCATTCCTCTTCAATTTAACATTCCCAGCAGAGGAGACCATGATTTTCTGACTCAAAATGGCCAATACCAGGCCATTTCAGCTCACTAATGCCTACGATATCGATCTTTATGTGTTCCATTTCATTTTGACGACTTCCAATTTTCATAGATTCACACTTTGTACATTCTATGTTCCAATTATTAATGGATGTTTGCAACTGTTTCTTCTCATTTTGAGTCATGCCACATTAGCGAATGAAGGTCCCGAAAGCTTTACT